AAAAAAAAAATAACAGCACGAGCCACGCGTTGGGTATCCTCTGATTACGCATTCACCGGGCGCACCGACCACTCGCTACATGGAATAAATAATAAGCGCCGTTGGTGCTCGTCAGCCGCATACAACCCGACAGTAGCGTTCCCTTTCACGTACACATACGTGTATACATGTATATAATTTATAATGTTTATCTCGACAGCCCTGCGCGCTCGGTATAAATATCGGGGGTATAATACCGAACTCGCGTCGAAAAACGTGATGCCCCATGCATGACTGGGATTATTGAAAATAAAATGCTCCTCCCTCCTCCCACTCCCCATCACGCCTCGCCATCAATCAGAAAACATAAGACTGGCTGCTGATTCTTTTTTCTGCACAAGTAATATATAGGTACATAAGTACTATAGGTACAACCGCGCATTATGATTCATTAATTCCCAGATTGACGTTGGCTAATAACCCATACGCAAGCGCTGTATACATACGGGGGGGAGGAAAACAAGTCTAAAAATTGATAACACGCGGACGCGCGAATAAACCTCTCTCGAGATGATCATTAAGTACAGGTATTATGATGAAGAACCGCGCGTATAACTAGGGGGAGCACAAGCGATTATAATAAATAAAATGCATACCTATATAAGCAGGTATATTACCTAATGATAATAATGGTGGAACGAATAAGAAGAAAGAAAGAAAGAAAGAATTGCGTGTAAAAAGACCAAGAGGGTTTGAGATTGTTATTGTTTTTTTTTTTTTTGTTCGCAGGGGACATCGAGGACTGCCTGGTGACGCCGGTCTCCCAGGGCCAGTTCACACCCCTGCCGGAGGCCCTCTGCTGGGCGATCCTAGAGCTGACGTCGCAGCGCCAAGCCGCGACCCTGGACACGGTCCGCTCGGCCCTGAGGAACGCCTTCCCGGCCATGCAGAGGCCGAGCCGCGATCTCGTCTACGACGCGCTGGCCAAGCTCATGCAGGACCGCAAGATCTACCACACGGCCCAGGGCTACTTTGTCGTCACACCGGAGACGCGCCGATTGCGCCGGGAATCGGGATCCACGGCCGGTGGTGGCGGACAGCACAGGAGCTCGCGCGAAATGACGTCCGGGCGCTCGCAGCCGGCGGGCATGCTCATGAGCAACGACGAGGCAATGGCCCTCGTGCACGGGGAGATGATCACCCTGAGGGACGGCGACGTCACCCACCAGGCCGTACAGACCAACCTGGCCGATGTCATATGCGGAGGTTGGTTTCATACTCTGCACTCTCCCTTGCTTTTTAACCCCACGGTTTTTATTTTTTTTTTTTTTCTTCCTCCCTCTTATAATGATAAAATGGCACGTAGGCAATCCAAACGACAAAGTCCTGTTTGCTCGATGCCAGTCGGTGCCGGGCAGACTGGAGAGGAGGCATTCATTGCGCCTCTGGGGTTCGGCGAGGCGTCTACACCGAAGCGGTAGCTCGAGGTCGCTGCCGAGGAGGCCCGAAAGGAGCGACACCTCCTCGAGCGCCGAGTACGCCAGCACGGACAGCGCACCCCACAGTCCAACCAGTGAGTCCTTTACGCACGTATAGTTTACGTACAAATAAAAAAAAAAGGGAAAAGGGCTTGCTTTTGCGTATTTTCTTTTGCTTCATTGCTTTCCGTACACGCACACCCTACATTTATGTACAATAAATTACCATGCACATTTCAATAGTCGCACCAAATTACTTTTTTCTTTGTTTTCATCGATATACAATTGCACCAGCGGTACATCATGTATAATGTAATTGTAAATAAACGAAACTGCAATCCCTTGTCCCTTTGCTCGTGGTGTTTGCAACAAATACCGGCTCGGGAGGGGCGGGGCTACGAAAAAAGAGAGCATTCCCAAACGTTGAAAGAGAAGGCCTGTCGGGCATTTTTTCAGAAAAAATAGGCTTACTGTCCCGACTGTTCCGACGCAGCACCCGGAGAAAGGGGGCGCCCCTCATGGGCACGTTCAGCGCTCAGTACCCGCCGACCGAGTGGTTCAATCCGCGCGTAGTTCACCTGCACAGCGTGGCCACGCAAACCAGAGCCGCCAGTCCATCGGTAAAATTCATTCACCCATACTTCGCATGGTTTTTCATCCGTGCCAAAAGGGATATAAATGAGTAAAAAAAAAAAAAAAAAAAACAATTTATCTAGATGATGGAGGGGTTGGAGCATTCGCAGGCAAGTTTCCAGGTGTGGGACGATTCGAGCTCGTTGCGCTCGGCGACGTTGCCCCGGAGGCACCACCACCACCGGCAGCCGAGCGCCGATTCGTCGAGTCTCCTGGCCAACTCGACGCCCCGTAGCTCGAGGCGCCACCGCTCGCCCTGCTCGACCCTGCCCCGCTCCAAGTGCTCGAGCCTGAGCAGGTGCACCTCGAGGGCCTCGGTCGTGCCCTCCTCGACGACCAATGGCCCATCACCGCAACAACAACAACCACAATCCAACGGCAAGAGCAACAACTCGACCAACTCCTCGCCCAGCCGAAGTGGGGGTAGCTCTGGTTCCGTGCGGGCTGCCCCCGCCAGCAACAACTCCTGCAGCCCCGCCAAGGCCTCCGGCCACTTTAGCCGACTCCAAGGCTCGAGGCACTCGTCCCGCCGGCCGAGCCACGAGCTTACACCCTCCAATGGGCCAAACTGCCCCACCAAGTCAACCAACGGCTCGCCCCAGCACAAGGTACGGATCAACACCCTCGGACTTGGTGCAAGTTTTCATTTTTTTTTTTTTTTTTTTTTTTTTTTGCTGGAAACAATTTTGTTTACAAGTATACTGTTTAAGTAATTAAAAATGTTTTTCATTACTAACGATATATATAAAGTTTGAAGTGAAAAAAAAAAAAAATAAATAAATAAAAAAAGTAAATTTGAAGGCAATGAAATTGAATCCCTCATGGCAACTAAATAAAATTGTAGGTCCTGCAAAAGTCCTCGTCGAATCACTCGAGCCACTCGAGCGGTAGCAAGTCGACCTCGAGCGGGCGCTTGTCCGCGTCGCCGCTCAAGACGGCGAGCTTGTCGGCCAACTCGTCGCCCCTCAAAGTCATCCAGCAGCCCCAGCAGTCCCAGCAACAGACGACGCTGACGCCACTGCAGGAGGGCACCCAGAACTCGATAACCCTCCAGGTCTCGACGAACCTCAGCCCTTCGCAGGAACTCCAAGGGGCGATACCGAGCGTCCAGAGCAGCGTCACCCTCGCGTCCAACGCCACGAGCACCACCACCATATCCGGCTCCCCCGGCACCAAGATCTACGTCCACCAGAACAGCTCGCCCATGCGCTCCGTCATCACCTTTGAGAACAACAAGTCCTCCACCACCACCACCACAACCACGACAACGACCAACAACAACAACAATAACAAGAGCACCAACAACACCGAGGAACAGCACTTGCTCACCGAGAAGGCCAACAGCAACAAGCAGCCGGTTTGTACGCCCGCGAGGCCGGAGAGGCCCTCCTCCCTGTACGCCAACAACAGGGACAACAACGCCTCGGACAAGGAGAACAAGCCAAAGCTCCAGAGGCAGGACGCGGAGGAGAGCAGCACCAAGAACCAGATGCTGAACAAGCTGAGCAACAACTACCGGCTGAACAACAGCCAGGCCCACCTGATCGATGGTGGTGGCAACGGTGGCTCCGACAAGCCCACCAGCGAGCAATTGAACATGAACAACTCGCGCAAGCTCAGCCTGTCGCTGTCCAAGGATGCACTGAGCTACCGGAACCTCCTGCGGCCGAGCGGCTCCAAGAACAACGTGGCCACCGCGGCCAACACAGCGGCCTCCTCGACCTCGTCCTCGAACCCGCCCTCGCCGACCAAGTCCTACGGGGGTGGTGGCAGTTGCTTCGGGGGCAGCTACAACAACGTGTACATCGAGAAGCAGCTGGTCCAGCAGCAGGGCAGCGAGCCGAGCCTGTTCAGCAAGACCCCGAGCAGGCCCGAGCTCTACTCGTATCCTAGTCTCAGTGACATGCAGGTCCAGTTTACGAGCCTCGCCGCCCAGAAAATACTCAAGGGCTGTCCTCTAAACAGCGTCGACACCCTCGTCGAGGTCAACATGGCCGCGGCCGACAAGCCTTGCAACAATCGCGACCTCGCCCCTCCCACGGTTCACACCGACTTTGGCCTCGTTTGATCAATCATCACCGTCAACCATCTTTCCTCCATACCCACACTTATTGTTGTTTACAACGCGACATTGCCATTTACTGCCTTTTACTCGTCAGTCTTGGCGAGACTCTTGGAAGCTTCTTGTTTTTTTTAAGTTGTTTCACGATACTTTTCAACCGTCAGATTGTATAGTTTTTTCCAGGTGGTTGAGCAGTTGTTTATCGTTAAGAGTTTTGATTATCATTGACTTGTGTGGATTGAAACTTTTTTTTTTTTTTTTTTTTTTTCACAATTGTACATGTAAGATGTTATATGAATTACGTGTAGCCCCGCGTTTCGGCATAATCATCATAATATTGTTTGTACACATTTCGCGTCGCTTGAATCAACGAAAGCGATTAGCCAAAGTCATTAAGTAATTTCTTCGTGTGGAGAAAAATGAAAGGAAACAAAAAAATAAATAAATCAATAAAAATCCAGTATCTACCACATGATATTATACGTATATTCTAACAAGTTTTCATTTTTTTTTTTTTTTTTTTTTTTTTTTTGTTCGCAGGGGACATCGAGGACTGCCTGGTGACGCCGGTCTCCCAGGGCCAGTTCACACCCCTGCCGGAGGCCCTCTGCTGGGCGATCCTAGAGCTGACGTCGCAGCGCCAAGCCGCGACCCTGGACACGGTCCGCTCGGCCCTGAGGAACGCCTTCCCGGCCATGCAGAGGCCGAGCCGCGATCTCGTCTACGACGCGCTGGCCAAGCTCATGCAGGACCGCAAGATCTACCACACGGCCCAGGGCTACTTTGTCGTCACACCGGAGACGCGCCGATTGCGCCGGGAATCGGGATCCACGGCCGGTGGTGGCGGACAGCACAGGAGCTCGCGCGAAATGACGTCCGGGCGCTCGCAGCCGGCGGGCATGCTCATGAGCAACGACGAGGCAATGNAAAAAAAAAAAGGATAAACGACACAAACTGTTTTTGAGAGATGACAAATTTTAGAGATTTATATTGTTGGTAATGAATTTTTATAGAAAGTAATTAGTAAAGTATACGTTTTGTAGTAAATTTTTTAAGCCTGAAGCGTACTTTTGAAAAGAAAATATGATATATTGTAAAAAAAAATGAACAAAATATAAACACGTACACAAGACTCGCGAAAACGTACGATCCTAGTCCTACCTTTAAGAGCACAAGATCGTGAGCTTCGTACATATAAAGTATGCATCAGCATCAGAAACGAATTCACTAATAGCGTTTTGCGTTTGTTACACCGTGTGACACGTGGACCGTACATATATGCAACACTAAAAGTATGCATCAACAGAAACGAATTAACCAATAGCGTTTTGCCTCTCTGCATGACGTGCTGTGACACGCGAGCGGACGCAAGCTGTAGACGCACAGCATTTTTTTCATTAAACGACTAACTTGTAGAGTGTAAAATTGTATCGTTATTGTCTTACGGAATGTAATTAAAAGCGCAACAATAAAAGACAAACATTATAAACACTTAAAACATTAATTTCAACTAGTGTTTTTGTTTCATTTCTTACCTCAAGTTTTATATGTTTTTAAAAAACTTAGACACGGGGTGAGATTTAGAGTAACTTATTATTCATCAAATGCAAAAATATTTTGCCATTACAAAATATTAGAGTACATCTAAAAATAAATTAATTTCTATCTAATTCTATCGATAGCAATTACACATGTTGCAACTAACATGTAAGTTTAAAGAAAATTTACTCTTTGGAGCAGAGTAATGAAAAAACACTTCAATAGAAAGTTTTACACTGCTCATTTCTACTATGTATCTTCTTAAATCGATGAAACATTCATCTAACTTTCATTGGGCTTTTTGTTGAATTAAATTACAATTTGGGAATAATTTTAATCAATATTTCGATCTCAATAGTAGGGAGGCGATCAAAGTATCATTTAAATTGAATTTCACGTTTTATGGTGTCAATATTTTTTCAATAAACTTTTTTACATCTTTCAATTCCTAAAAAATAATTTTCAATTATTATTATTATGCTTAAAGTATAAGATAAAATTTTTTTTAATTCAAATGTATTCACCTCATCGCAGGATGCATGCATAACTTCCCTGTACGTTTTGAATTCAGTGTTAGTCATAAATTGTTTTAATGCAGTCGCTGTTGCTTGACCCCATTTATATGGAACTATTGGATCGCAATCGCCATGGCATTGTAAAACAGGTGTGTCTTTATTGCCTTTGGCTATCTGGAACGTGAAAATTTCTGTATAGGAGGAAAATCCAAAGTAATAGTCGTAACTTTTATGAATAATGATTTTATTACGGCTGGAAATTTTTGGTGCAAAGGGAGCCAAGTTGAAAGAGCTATGACCCCTGCTAATGGTTGAGGGAAAGTCAGAGCACTGTACAAAGCTAATGCTCCACCTTGACTGAATCCACCAAGCATGATTCGTTTTGTAGGTATTCCTGACTCTACTTCTTTAAGTATCATGGAATGTACATCTTCAGCAGCCTTTTGTATACCTTCTTCATCTTCTGGTCCAGTAGCATCCAAGGTTCGTAGATCGAACCTATCCGTGTTTACAAATTGTGTTTTAGTGAATTGTTTAGGAATACATCATAAATATTGAACGAAAGAATGAAAAACATAATCTCACCATGATGGCATTTTGAAACCGCCATTTAAGGTAACGGGTCTGGTGTCACTAAAATTATACATTTTATCATTAGCATTATGAAAGGTCCAACACCATAGGTAGGATTATTTCCAATAATTTTATACATACGCAGTCGGACATATTACTTTAACATGTGACGATCTCAAGGAACCCAGTGTGCTTGCCCAACCATGGCTAGGGGAAAAAATCAATACACGTTAAACAACAAATTTGGTGGGTCATTCAGTGTAGTATGTACAATACGCTTCGGTAAAACTTACCCTGTGTCACCAAGTCCATGAAAAAAAATTAGCTACAACACAAATTTATTATATTTATTATGAATAACAACCACATGCAGTCACACTTTTATTTAAAGGCTTAATAATTATTTATATACTTATTGTAACTCAAATTCCAAATTGAAAAATAATCAGGGTATGTAGCAATATCGTTTGGCAACTTGGTTTCATTCAGAAAATTAAAGCATTTCAACATAAAATTCACAAAAAACCCAATGAGCATTTGAGTATGCAAAAAAAAAAAAGAATATTACAAATGAAATTCGCATGAGGTAAGGTGGTACCAAAAACGCAAAAAAATAATCGCAATACATTGTTATCGTACAGAGAAGCAGAATACGGTTGATTTGTAGGGAAAGTGCACCTCTATAAGTACAGTATAGCAAAGCAGCTGGAGTGGAATCGATTGGGAGTATGTAGTCGCGTGGGCTTGATTTACATAAGAAAAATAATAGACTTAGAGTTTAATTTATCGGTCAATAGACGGTACACTTATGTGTACCATACTTAAAGTTAGGCGATTAAAAGATAAATTTACAAACAAAAATCATCATACTGAGTAAAAAATACTATCATAGATTTAGATTTCCCAGATAATTTGTAAAAATTGATGTTGCCTGCTGACGTAAATACACCAGAGTAATACAACCAAAAAAAATTGACGTCAATTTACAATATCGTTGTAATTTGTCACAGTCAAAAATCTAATCAATACTTTATTAATGTTTAAGTATTAATGTTTTACAAAGTTGATGTTGTCAATAAAACTTAAGAGCTTCTGGTGCAAAAATCTTACCTAGAGGTTATACGCACTTATACATTCAACACGAGCATATCTCGTCAACACCATCAAGATAGTTTATGAGCTTTAAAGCTATTATCTAAAGAAAAAAAAAAAAAAAAATTGCGGAACAGACATACTAACATGTCAATGATAGTAAACATTGTAAGTAGGTAAATGGTACTAAGTACGGGTTGAATTTTTTCCAAATCTACGATAGTATTTTCTCTTATTCCAACACCGGAAGCTCGCGCTTGGCTCTTCAATGAGGCAGGTGCGATGCATGGCAATTATGCATAATGAGATCAATGACAAAATATACTTAATGAATGATTAGGCAAAACTGCAATTTAATAAAACGACTCACCGTTGCCGAGTGCCTTGAAGTGGCGGCAATCACCACGGGGCTTGACATCTTCTTCTTCTTTCCGCACACTGATCACAAATTACGCAAATAACGTATAAAACAAGACAACAATTGATTATCACGCTGATCAAACTACTTGAAAACTACGTACGACGAGAATAAATAACCATGTAGGTACTACGACGAAAAACGATACGCGAACAAGAGACTTTTATTTCCCCTCGGAGGAAAGTCGACTGATGGCTCTTGCTTGCGCGTGATGTAGGTTATGGGGCGGGTGTGCAGGGGTGGTGGCGGCGGTAGCGGCGCGTGCAGTAGGTATATTTTTCTTGGAAAAGAAGAGGACGCGAGCCAGGCAATCGGGGATGATGCAGGATATATTATAACATTTATGCGCCGACGCACGTTTCTATTTCTTCTTTGACAATAATAATTGTACACTCGATTCTCGTGTCTTCCTTTTCACACGCCTCTGTGTATAAAAGCTTCGACCTCATGTATTATATATTACACGTTCAACAACGTAGGCATATATTTTTGTATTAATTATACTTGGTGACAGTTGAATTTAGCGGTATAGTTATATTTTGAGAAAAGAAACAAAACAATCGAATCATTCACGCGTTCGTTTGACCTTCAAACAACCCATATTTTCCTTTAAACTTTTTCGCCGAAGCTTGATAGTTTTTCTATCCTCCTCCCCCCTTATTATTTTTCTCTTCCGCGCGCGCTCTCATGACGCATGCATCTGAGTGATATTTTAATTGACCGACGACCGACGCATGCATCTTATACGTGGAAACATCATGTGTCAATGGTGTGAAAAAAAAAACAAAAAAAAAACCACAAACCTTGCCAATTTCCCATGAACGCACGTGCGGCTCACTTTTTACGGTTGATGGTTACGTTGGGAGACTTGACTAGTGGGAAAAAATAAATTGACCCTCCATTTAAACTTGGACGGGTCGCTGGATCTCTTTTACGTCGCGTGGGAGGCTGTTATTTTGGATTCCCATTGAAGCCTGCACGCAATACGAAATTTCGTCACAGTAGACCGACAACCCTTTCAACGATTACATCGCTGCACAGCTGAGTGGATATGTAGAGGGATATGTCAGTCTGATTCGCGAAAACTTGTTTTTTGTTTCGGAAAAACTTGACCATTGACATTCAAGGGGATGTTTCCCTGCATATTTTTACGCGCTCATCTCACTCGAGCTTGCAAACGCTACTGAAAGCTTCGCCTCGTCTGCTATTCGGGAGAGCTGCTCTCTGATCACGTGGTAGTTTTGAGGGTGCATGGATTATTGAAAAGATTCAACTTTTGTCTTAAACATTTATAAATATATTTATTTACACTTTTTTTTCTTTTTCATTTCAAATTAAGTACAACGTGTTGAAACTTTTGATAAAATGGTATCAAATACACAAATTTAATTAGGTACATATAAAGCAAAATATAAATTATTTTAGTTTGATTCTATGTTAATCAGTGGTTCGTCGAAATTGGCCAGAAATAGCAAAGATTCGGAAGCACTTGTTGATTCTGTGGGAGATTTTACAGATGTATCAGTTGATTTTTTGTTGAATTCTAAAGGTGTGAGAAACGATTTATCATCCTCTTTTTCTTTGATGAGTAGCAACGGTTCCTCCTTACTTTTTTTTTCAACTGTTTCTTTTGTTTCAAACATAAAGAATGGCTCGGATTCATCATCCAACTTCAACAATTCCTCAAATTTCTGATTCATATTGGTAAAACCACTTAAATCCACCAAATCACTCAAGTCTGTTGGCTTAGATTTAGTTTCACTTGGTCCTTGCCTCGCACTGCCACTCGTACTTGGCTTTGCTTCTTCACTCGCGTCAAAATCTAATAATTTACTTGGATCAAACCCACACGCTCCTTCCTCCTCATATTTTTCATGGTCAGGAGCCTTTTGTGTAAAAGTACTCTGAGGTAAGTCAATTTCAACGGGAAAAATAATATTTTCCGACAGTACTTTTAAAATGCTTTCAAAATACTCAGAGAGTCCAGTAGAGAATTTTTGCAATTGATCGGCAATATGCTCAAAGTGCTTATTTTCTAAAAGTTCAAGTTTGATAAGAACGTCTGATCTTAGTTTAGCAAATTTTACTCTTGCATTTTGTCTGCATCGTAATACCAATCGATATTCGTAATTTCCTGATTCAACTCTGTACAGTGGTTCTTGACTAGATATAGAGATTTGCTCTTCGTCGTCCATTTCTTTGACTTTCAAACAGTACGACAGATATTCGAATTTGACATCAGCATATTTATTAATTGTCATTTTTGTGTCAGGAATGGCTTTCTGAAGGAAAGTTCCAAGGTCATTCAAAATTGGCTTGACTTTTTTCAACATGGTGATGCCAATTTTTTCCATTTGTCTGTGCATCTCGCCAAATTTTGTGAAAGCTTCGCTGGCCCTTGATTGAGGTTCCTTCACCCCCATTGAGGCAAAAGTATCTCCAAATACTGTAAAGATAGTTATTCAATCAACGAAACAACTTAATGACGAAAGTCGCAAGTGAAATTAACACTAAAAATTACCTCTAAATACTTGAAACAGATCAAAAAATGCATGTAGCACGGATTTCATATGTGTAGTGAGACCTTTGTAAAAATTTTCAGTCTTCTCCAGTGCTTGCAATCTTTGAACTAGTGTGTCATTGCAGAGAATTGCTCTAGACAATCCTAAGGCATCAGCAGCACTACTACCCATACTTTCGACTAATCTGTGCTTTACCTAAATTGAAAAGAAACAATTTTATCTCTATTTTATTCTTTGCATAGCTTTTTAAATTCAAAAAAATGTTGGTACCTTTTTCAAAAGTATATCCAAAGTCTTTCCCTGGCTCACATCAGCATGGAGTTTATTATAATTTATGCTTACTTTAGCTTCACAAGCTTGAATCATTTTTGCCACTTCAACTTTTGTCTTTCCTTTTAAACTTTCTCCATTAACTGAAACAAGTTCATCACCAGCCTCTAATGTTCCATCTAGTGCAGCTGGAGTGTTGTCAAACACTTGAACAATGTAGAGACAAAGGCAGAATGGTGCTCCACCACCAATACTTATTCCAATGAGATTACTGCTGTCTTTTTCTATGACTACGTTACCAGAAGTAATAGTCATGCCCCTGTGTTTAAAACATTTTTTAATTAATTTCAATTTCAAACTATTAACAAAACGTGTTTTTTATAAGCTTTGTTACTGGTGTATTAATAAGCCACTTAATTCAACTGCAAATAGGACTTATTATTATTATAGGTGGATGCTCTCAGCAGTTGCTACAGGGAAAATTCTTGTTAATTTCACACTAATCGTTACTATGGATTATAACGTTGTATGGATTATTGTTGATAAGATTTATCAAATCATTGTATTTGGTTTAAGTGAAGTATAGATATGTTAAACGAAAAAAATACATACATGTTACCATTTCCCTTCCCTCATCAAACTATATATGTCATAGATAAGAAGAAAAAAAAAAAAAAAGAAGAACAAAATAAAAGTAAAACCACTAAAATTCACAATAAGAACATGCATCAGCTCATGCAAAATAAAAACTTACATTTGATCCATGTGTTGTGAAATAGTGGCAAACTGATCTTGTGCGACCAGTTCGACCATTGGACTAACATATCCAGAGCAGCCAATAATAGAAAATAATTTAAAAAGGCCAAAAAAAAGTGACTCTTTTTAAGTCTGGATAAACTTAAAAGTAACAATGCGTACATGCAATCTTCTGTCATTTTGGTGTGATGTAACTCAATACTAGCCAAAGGCACGGTGGGCATAGAATCAAAAACATCAATTAAATTTGATTCCTCTTTGGAGTCTGATAGCCATGCTGGAGTTATGAGAGATGAGGTTTCACCCATCAAACTGCTCCACCATGCCAAATGGCAATGTTTTGTGCGTAGAGTGTAAAAAAAAAAGCACATTTAGATTCAATACGAATAAATAAAACGAAAAACAATATAATAAAACAGTGTCTTTAAATGCTAAAATACTAAATAATGAACAAACATTTTGTCCTCTTCAACAGGGAAGTCTTCTTCTTCAAAACCAAGATCCATTTTTTTAATTGTAATGTAACCTAAATAACATTAATACATTAGAATCTGTCAGTTCATGAAAAAATGTTTCTTTCATTTGTACTTACGAACTGTAAAATTATTACAAAACGAATGAACTATTAAATTAGGTGACAGCAATTACTTCATTGTGCACTTAAGGTTGACAGTAAATCCTGTCTCGTAAGCAGCTTAACAAATTGTTTAAAAGTTTTATAGAATAAAACAGAATCGTTAGATCGTTCATCCGTTTAGGCGATGTTTTTGCGTTTTCATCGTATACCTATTCTACGCATGAAAACTTTCAAGGTAACACATGTTTGACATGCACGCAGGTTGCAAGCTCTCAAGCTATCCAAAACTGCATTAAAACGATTAAAACACAACAAAAAAAAGTAAATCGTATATAAATAAGTATCACAATAATAAGCTTAGCCTAACATGACAGCCGCTCCTGCTTTTCTGCTAGTGCTTGCACTGCTTGCAGGGGGGTTGATGTCCTCAACGGTGATTGGTTCATTGGTGCATAGTATCAAACGTCATCTCGGAGCTCAGAGTCAAAGCTCTCCAAAAAGTTGAAAAGCTTCGAACTCTGAAATAAAAAACAAAAAAAAAACAAGAAATAAGTTGTTTTAAAATTTATGTTACTATGCTTTTTTTTAAATTTAATTTGCCCTTTACTTATTTACCTCTACAGATAGTTTGATTATTAATTTTTACAGTACAAATGACGTAAAGTCAAGTTTCTATGAAACAATTGCATAAATATATGGCTTGATGTAATACAAAATAAGGCCACGTCAATCGCCGAGAGAAGAATAGTCTGGAAGAAGATAGGAGATAGGATTTCAGCCGCTAATGAAAACTCAACACGATCAGTTTGTGTTCTTCCGTTGACAAATAAGTTTTACAAGAGTGTAGTTTCGAGAGCCTTGTGAAAGTATACGTACACGTTTATTAATGTGCATATACTTATAACGTTGTGTCTAAATACGTGACAAGCATAAACATTAAGCAGCAGCAGTAGCATTACAGTAGTAGGTTAACTTTGACTATCAGTGATGGTTTCAGGTACATAAGGACTATAAAAATTGAAGAAAGTTTACCGGGTGATTTATGTGTTGCGCAAAATCTTGTTAAACACCACCTGTGCAAGAAAAAACGTCACAATTTTTTTGCAAAAATGTCCGACGTGGGGACTTGGTTCAAAAGTTTGCCAGTATTCACGAGATACTGGCTGGCCCTGACTATCGCTTTTTCCATCATCGGCAGGTTCAAAATTATTAGTATAAGCAATCTCGTACTGCTGTATGACCCTTTTATTCGCAACTTCGAGTTATGGAGAGGTCTTACCAGCCTGTTTTTCTACCCAGCGAGTTTTCATTTACTCATGAACCTGTATTTTTTGTACAATTACTCGCTAAGACTGGAGAGGATAGATTTTGATGGCAGGCCTGCAGATTACTTCTTCTTACTTATATTCAACTGGATTTGCTGTCTTGTAGCGGGATTATTACTAAACTTTACTTTATTGATGAATTCCATGATCGTTAGTGTTATTTACGTCTGGTGTCAGTTAAACAAGGATGCTATTGTACAATTCTGGTTTGGTAAGCATCAAATCTTTACACCTAAATAGTTTCTTGCATCATAATGCATAACTCTTTTTTTTTTTCTAATTTTTTCAGGGTTACAATTTAAAGCCATGTACTTGCCATGGGTTCTCTTTGGAATCAATTTCATTATTAACCATGATGGATTAGAAGAGCTCATTGGGATTCTTTGTGGACATTTGTACTTTTTCTTGAAATTCAAATACCCTCAAGAGTTCGGAGGACCAAGTTTGCTCAGCACTCCATCTATTTTAGAATATTATTTTCCTCAAAGAAGTAATATCCGTGGTTTTGGAGCTGCACCAACAGCGCAACCTTCTACCAATTCACCATTTGGCCATAGTTGGGGACGTGGTCAAGTGTTGGGGCAATAATTTAGTATTCAAGTGTGTTTAGTGAATTTATTTTGCTGGTGGTTGAGTGGGATGTGAAGCGTTTTTTCTTTTTTTTTTTCAAAAATTATGTATTCTATTGCCGATTCCGATACAACTGTTATTAAACAAACGAATTATTTGTTGTGAGTCATTAATATTACAAAGACGATAATTTAAGATGGATGTTGGAATATTCATAAAAGTTGTACAAGTATATTTGATTTTATAATTTTTTTGAAAGTGATAATATAAACATTACAACATAATTTTGTTTTGTAAAAATGTACAGTGAAAATTTTTGTATTCCATTAAAAATAAAGCAGACTTAATGTATTAATCCTCGAATTAATTTTAAATTTCACAGTCCAGAAAACAAGTTGAGCCATTCAAAAATTACGCTTTCTTTTATACAACTGCAAGTCTTCAACAAAAAAATGTTTCGTATATACATGTGTAGTTTAATATATCGCACGTACCGGTAGCGAAATTTAAATTTCTAAGCATCTAGAAAATTCTTCATCGTGATGTTAGTATTATAAATTATCAAATCACTTCTACTAAATCAAAGGGTTGAAACAAAAAAAAATATATAAGAAATTATCAATCCGGTTGTTCTTAAAAATGATTATTAATACTTGGTTCATTCATTTTATGAATATAAAAATTTTAACTATTGACACTTTGTGAGCGTTTAAATTTTCATTTACAGTTTACCGTATGAGATTAATACAATTTTAATACTAATAAAAAAAATTCGCTATCATGTTCTATAGTGAGATGTTTTCTTAAAAAAATAAGATGATTAACCAAGTAGATAATAGTTCATCAACTTGCGCGATCGAGTCTGATGGTCTGATCTATCTGCATACTGATCGCATGTCATCACGTTATTGACGTTAAAGACTTGGTCAGTCATGTCTGGTCAAATTTATTCGAGCTGCAGTTAAAAGTAAATTTTATTTTCATTCATTGCAATCGACAAACAACATTATTAAAAAGTTCATCATAGTATTTTGCATAATGAAATGATTTAACTTTCTTTAAAGTGGATCTACGATTTTTTCGTATGGAACCACCACGTGCGTTTGAAGACTGCATGCAGGTTTGTCAATTGAACCCATACAAAAGATTAGTGGAAAAATTATTTATTAATTTTTTCGCATGAAAAAAAAATTTATTTCTTCCAATTCACTGTTTATACGCAAAAATTTTATATCTAATCGGTATTATTCTTTTACACGCGATAATTGCGCGGTCGTATTATGACCACCACCATGTATAGGAGAGCAAGATGTTGGGGGTGATTGAAAAAATTGTTTCTATAAATTTCGACGATATATTTATTTATGTATGTACTTCAATATACCAATATTGCATTAAAAACTGTATTTTGATAACTTATTCTTTCCAAAACGATTTATAATAAATTGTGTAGCTTTCACCATTATCATAAATAATGAAAACCTTTGGATACTGGAAATGCAACAAAATGAATATGTCATGAACAACGTATCAGCTCCTTAACACCGCTAAAAAAGAATTTTCAGAATACAGTAAGTTACAAACGCGGTAATGACAGTTTGCCGCCTCTTTTGGAGCAATAAAATATTTTCGAAAACAACTGTTTGAACAATATTTTTGACCATAAATAAAATTTAACTCTGGATTCCTCAAATTATAACGATCGTTTACGTATTGTAAATGAACCATTTAAAATTTTTTTCGGTGTGGCGATCAATCCCTCCCTTTTGAGGAAATAACTATCCCCTCCAACTCTGCAGAGTGCACAGTAACGTGCATGCTGTACTTTCTTGTAGACTGTAACCTCTCTGATTACCTCTCATATGCACATTGTACATGCTTAGTAAGCCAACGCGACGTAGATGGTGAGGACGGTAAGAATTAGAAGCAGCATTAAAGAACAGAACTGCATGCGTGTGAAGTGCGAGCTGTGTGAGGTGCCCTGTTGTGACCGCGTTGATTTTGAGAGAGCCGGATCGGAATCGAAGCCGAAAATAATTAGGTAATTGTATCCTAGATAATTGCAATAGTTGGTTTCGTGTAAGCCCCGTACATACGTAATACGTTGTACATACGCGAATGTGCGAACCTAGAATTATATATCTATACAACGTAAGTAGCTAGCAGGTTATATCACTCATATAAGTATTCACTCTTTTCGTCGTTATCTTGGAATATTATACGATTCGTCGTCGGCGAAACTGTTATTTGGTTTACTTTAAACTTATTAGCGATCAGTTTGTTGCTTGCAATTTGGTTTCAAGAGGTTTGGGAATTGAAAGTTAAATCGTAAAATTTTTACACACCAATACTTACACAAAGTTTTTCGTTTTACAAGTTTAGTTCGACCGACACCTACTTACTTAATCCGGCAGCGAGTGGTGTTTTACAATACCTACATACACTTATCTACTTAAATCATAAACTTGAATATAATTATACTGTTGCAACGATTCCTAGGTCTCGCGTAACATTGAAGATTGTCTGAAAGTTCGTTATCTCTCTTTTCGCAGTTGACTGGAAAAAAAAATTGTCAAGTAAGTGAAGAAGAAACAAAAATAATATAAAAAGTGGCGGAGAAGGTGGAGGAAGCGGTGGAAGAGGAGAAGGAAGAGAAAGAAGACGAAGCCGCTCCGTTCTGCAGTGTGCGGTTGAGTCGAGTACTCAATACACGTATTACCTATAATCATCTCCTGGAGTACCCGTACCCCGTACCTGCAGGAGTGCATCAATTTTTGCGCGCGAGAGTCGAATATCGGCTCCGAAGACGCAAACAAGGCTGGCTGCTGCTGCTGCTGCTGCTACCCACGAAGACGCCTCGTCCTGTGCCGTTTTGATGTTTTCTCACGTTCTTTTTCGCCAGCATGGAAGATTCATACGAGGTTCGTAATTTTTGTTTTTTATGCATAATCGTCGCCAGGCTGGATATTTATTTTACGCGCATACGTGGGATTGTATTATATGTATAAGATACGCATTTACGGAGACCCGCAATGTCGGTGCTGCCGCTGATGCTTCTCTCTGCCCTATCTTTTTTTATCATGTGATCGTATTTGAGGTTATTTTATGCAATGTTGTGTCTTTCCAAAACAATTATTCAGTGGTCAAAAGTGCCGGTCATCGGTCGAAAATGGCAATGACCGTTTTTCCTCGATGAGTACTCGCGTTTAAAGAACCATGCGTCGATACTAATTGTAAGATCTGAACGTATCTCTCAGAAGCTCAATTATTGAGGTTACACACGGGCGGAAGGGGGAGGGTATTTCTCTTGCTAGCTGCTCCATTTGGCAAAAGCTATAGGGCTGAAGCGGAAAAAAGCACGTGTCGATCAAACGAGTCATTAAAATTCCAACGTTCAATAAAAATTAAAAAAAATTGGCATTATCGTTATTGCATTTGCAGCTATTATTGGCATGTTTTTTTTCAAGTGATTGGTGAATTATCATTAATAATTAGATTTTTTTTTTTCCAGAACGACTTTGAATTTTTAGATTTATCAAATTTAGATGAACACGGCAAAGATGAACTGACAGCTATTTTAAAACCCAACTCCAGTACTGATACGGTACAGTTGCCATGGGTTGAACAGGATTGCAGAAATTACCATGTGCTCTCTGCTGAACAACAAGTTCAGCATCTAGAGGAGCCAAAAGTCTGGCCTCAATATGGTAGGATTTGATGAGCTTGATGTTTACTACAGACGGGCTAAGCGATAATGTCAATTATTGATTGAGTAATGGTTTTCTTCTTTTTTTTTTTTTTTCTTCTAGAAATGGAGGGAAACGTATTGAAATATGATCAACCAACAACAGCATCTTCCGTCCTTCTCACAGTACCACCAAATATTCCCTACAGTCAACCGATGATAACACCCATGTACGCCACCGATTGGTCAAATGTATTCGTGAACAATGATCCCCAACATGTCCACCCTTATATGCAAGGAATGGCTTACCCCCAAAATTTGTATACACCAAATAATGATCCATCACCTCAAGACATATCCTCAATGAGAGAAGGAGGAAGACGCGGTCGCGGGCGAAGCAATAAAAATTACGGCAGAAGTATGAATCATGGTCACGAAATCCAGACTGGCTACATGGGAGATCACAACCAGTATCAGATGAATATGCCATATCAACAGTCATACGTATGCATTTCGGAGCATGCTGTCACACCCCAGCAACATCATGCTACTGGACAGCCAATATTTTTCCCTTCTCCTGCAATATATCATTCACCTCCAATGGCACAACAAACTCATCGTGTTGAGTAAGTTGAAACATTTACAACAATCATGTACTACATTTAGTAGCACATCTTAGTAATTTACTATCTTTACTTTAGTTACCTATCATATCATCAATCTCCAACAAATACAAAACACAGTCGCCACTCTCAAAGTATGTTACCACAAACAAATGGAGAATCTTCAACAAAAAGCACAAATCACAAATCGTATGAAAAACAATTACAAAATGTAAATATTTCAAAGCCTTCCATTCATCAATCACACGATGACAATAGCAACTCATCCCAAACCAACATAGTCACAACAGTAACTGTTAATAACAGTAACATAGAGTCGTCCGTCAGTGATGCTGATGAAAATTCAACTGCCAATAATACTACAGCTAATACAAAATTTGGTGTTAAAATTGAACACAACATTGTTTCAACTATCAATGAAAACTACAAAGGTGTTGAAATAAACGACATACCCTGCGTCAATATTAAAAGTAGTATAGAAGTTAAGCAAAATGGAAATGACATTAAGGAACATGATGAAACAATTTCTCCATCTAAAGCTCCAGAATTCGCTGCAAGTATAGCTCCTGTGGCTTCCAAACCCGTCGAAAAAGTTAATATTGAAGAAATTCATAGTAATGAAGTTGAAAAAATTGAAGAAGTTAATGAAGTAAAGGAAATTAAAGTGATAACAGAAAATAAAGTAGATATTAACGAACCAGTAGCGCCTGTTAGCACTTCAACTTCTGCTTCCAAGAATAAGTCTTGGGCTAGTCTTTTGAAGAAAGATTCGGAACTTGTTAGTGCCAGTGCCAATAAGCCAACAGCTCTTATCCCACCTAATAACATAACTGTCGTAGCTAGTGATCATATTGAACCACCTTCACAGGAAAATTACCATCAAAAGACTCAATTACCATCAAAAAGTTTAAATAACAAATCCCTTCTAGAAGAATCACAACAAAAAAATAACGTACCAGTAGATCAATTCAAAACGTTCAACAACAATGCATCTCAAATACATTGTGATGACCCAATAACGTATAGGATGGGTGGTAAGTATTTCGTCAACTTTTTGATGTATACGTACTGAAATTCAAGTATTGACAAAAAAAATTTTTTAGAATTTTTACTGGGTCATCAAATGGAAAAACAGACTGTTAGCTTATTACCTCGAGGATTGACAAATCGCAGTAATTACTGCTACATTAACAGCATATTACAAGCTCTACTTGCTTGTCCACCGTTTTACAACTTGTTTATGGCTATGCCGTACTCGAAAAATCCTTCAAGACACTCACCTAGTCCTCTAATCGACAACATGTAAGAATCAAAGAAATATTTAACCAGGAAAGGTAAATGTATTTTTCACTAATTGAAAAATATATTGTTTTAACAATTACAGGATTCAATTTGTACGTGAATTTTCTCCACTCCCGGAAGGTGCTCGTTTAGCGAGGAAGGATAGAGCACAAAAGCGTAATGAAGATGCTATTGTGGATATTCAAAGTGGTGTTCCATTTGAGCCTTCGTATATGTATACCATTTTAAAAAATACATCGTCTCCTGGTGTATTTTCTGTAGAAGGTCGGCAAGAAGATGCCGAAGAATTTTTATCGTGCCTGCTAAATGGAATTAGCGACGAGATGTTAGAGGTAACGCATTTTATTTATTATAAAAAACAAATTACCTCACTTTTACGAAAATTTAAAAAAATTTAATTTACAATTTTTCAGTTAATGAAATTGGCTAATAACAACGAACAAAAATCCGTAGATTGCATAGATGCTCAAGATGAAGAGGAGTGGAAAGTATGAACTCGTCAATTTATGTCGTGTTATATATAATATTAAAAGTGTGGGTAATAATTTTATTCCTTTTTTTTTTTTTAGGTAATGGGCCCCAAGAATAAAGGATCAATTACGCGAAGCACAGATTTTGGACGTACACCATTATCAGACATATTTAGAGGACAATTAAGGTCAAGAGTTCAACGAGCGTCGGAACAAGCCACAGACTACGTTCAGCCATTTTTTACCTTGCAACTTGAAGTCGAGGTCAATAAAACTTTTTTAATTTTAATATGTTCATATGTCATGAATCTAACAAGATTTTTTGTGTATGTAGAAAGCTGAGTCTGTCAAAAGCGCACTAGAAATACTTGTTGGAAAAGACCCACTTGAAGGAATGACTTGCAGTAAAACAAAACAAACAATTGAAGCGTGGAAACAGGTCACACTGGAAGAACTGCCAGTAATACTTATTTTGCACTTAAAGTGGTTTGATTATAAACCTGATGGTTGTTCTAAAATCCTAAAAAGCGTAGAATTCCCCATAGATCTTAAAATTGACAATAGTAAGTAATTAAACTCGTGCATGCTCACTTGGTAATATAATTAGTATGATTAACGTAATGTTTTTATTTTAGAATTGATGTCACTGAACGCCAGACCAAAGTCGAGTCAAAAACAAAGACAGTATAAGCTGTTTGCTGTTACCTACCATGATGGAAAGGAAGCAACTAAAGGCCATTATGTAACTGATGCCTTTCACGTTGGGTACGGCGGCTGGGTCCGCTATGATGACAGTTCGCTTAAAGGTGTCTCTGAGGCAAATGTACTGAAACCTTTACCACCCAGAGTACCATATTTACTATATTATAGAAGATGTGATACTATTGGGCTCTCAAATAATGTTAAAGCGCGGTAAATTACTTGCAGCAAAAAAAAAAAAAAAAAAAGACCTATACATAGTTTAACACCTCGTTTTAGATAACAAAAACTTGCATTTTTATATTTTCTAAATTTAATGTACGATTTGTATTACCGGATAAAGCGTTAACAGATCGAAATTATATTATTGTAGAAAGATGAAAACGTTATAAATGTACTATATTCTTATTGTTTTATATGTATACATGTACACAACTCATCATGTACATGTTTACGTGAATGGAATGCGATCATATTTGGTATGTGAAATAAAGATAGTAGGAGTTGTGAACAACTTATCTCTAGATGAGAAGCAACTGCTTAGTTGTAACTGTAAATGTAAAAATTGTTAATGTAAAAATAAAATTATATTGCTTTCTATACACATGCTTCACCTTTTTTGAGTAACATTAAGATCATTGATTCTTACATTCTTTTATTATTGGTTAAGTTTACACAATTTTATCATACTATTTAATATTCAGGTTAAATGACATCCTTAATTTCAGTACAAATTTGTTTTTATCTTACTCTTATATTTATCACAATTTTAGTTGAATACTGAACTAATTATAACCTAATATTTAAAAATTATAGATATTTTATCAGTGAAACACTTGTCACAAAAACTTATTTCTAGAATAATAAAGTATTTACATAATGTACGCATTAATTACAAAATTTAATACAATCCTAAATACCTACACTTTCTCCATCCAATGGATTTACACAAAACTTTTTCTATTCTTATTATTTACAATAGGATTTTTTTTTTTTTTAACAAAAAAATTGTATTTAACTTAAAATAGTTGATTCATGTAAAACACACAGAATTGATTGAAAAAAATAATTAATTATGGTACGCCTCTTTTATAAATGTATGGTATGCACAGTATGATGAAAAATAAAGTGAAGAAAAAAAAATTCGTCAAGAGATGCTAAAAATGTGGCAGGCAGACCTTTCCAGCAAATAGTTCAGAAATCACTGTGATCCAAAGTGATAAAACAAACAAGATGTATGACATACCGACTTGATGAGAATTTGGCAACTGGTATGGTTGGCCACCGATCTCATCAATATGGAATCCCATTGGAAATATAACTGCAGCCAAACAAAAAACTACCACTGTAAGAATGTAAAAAAAAATTATTGTACCTGCAAATGTCAATTTGATATTGCATATACAAGAGTACTCTTACTTGCACTGAATCCCACCCAACGAGCATAAGGTATAAGATTTCTATCCCAGTGTGAACTGATCAGTAATATAATGGTAGTTGTGATTAAAATGCATCCAATTAAAATGCAAACCAAGGCTGTCCACCATTCTGGTTTTAAATCTGGCTTGTAGCAAACTTGAGGCCTATTGTATAAAGTCATGCACGACCACATCAAACCTAATCTTGTATCTCCTGTCATAATTATTACTTACAATCAAGTATTAAATAAAATAAGTGCACAAAATTGCATAAAAATCTAACCTCCAACATCAGTTATAATCCAATCTGGCATTGCGAGACTAACAACTGCAAACATATCTGCAGCGAGAAACAAAGTGCCAGAAATAATGGTCAACTTATCCATTGTTATTGATGATTGTTTACTTGACAATTTAAAATTTGTGTGTCAGTTGCTGAATGTAGTGCTCCTCATTGTCATTTATTTGTAGTACATAATTCAAAGTACTTATGGAAATCAATAATTACTTAATTAACTTTACACAGTGATTTTGTTACATCAACTAAAACTTGTTCATAATCACTTTACTAGGACTGTTTATACGTTATGGGCATGTTTTTGACAAATGCCTTTGATATCTAGCAGACGTAACAACTAGGCGCGCGAAAACTTGACGTACATAATTAATAATATTAAAATGATACGTTTTAGATTAAAAAGGACACAATTGTTTGATTATAAAGTTGATTAAAGTTTAAATAGGTAAACAATACTTTCATTACTAATACTTTGCACTCAATACTTTGTATTCATTGTGTTTTTACCTCAGTTAGTCTAGGGACATTTTTATCCTGACAAAACGCATATATATATTATCAGAAAAAAATGTAAAATATCAGTAACCGTACAAGTTTTCTGTTACGAAACGTGATATTTTTCAATACTCAACTATCAATAATTATTTTAGATCAAAAGAAAATAGGTGCCGTTATTTATTTTGTTGGTAAATTATTTTTTTTTATGAGTACGAGCTTCTAGTAAAATCAGAGTTAGACATTCGACGAGGAAGACTAGGGATATTTTCTCAATCGAAAGGTGGTGCGAAAAATAGCAGGTTACGTTGCTTTCTAGCAGGTTGCTAGTCGTAAACTGTTTGTATAAACGATTTCACGTCAAGTGAATGATTAGTTTGTTAATCAACTAATATTATTTTTTAAGTAAAAGAAAACTATTTGATTATAAAAGTAAATATCCACGCCAGGCATATCAGAATAACTATGAATAAGTGTACCTAATAGTCTACAAGGATCGATTCTTGACTGCCTTAGGCCTTTAACAAACAAAAAATTTCTCTTACGTTGTCACCAATAAGTCGTGATTTTTTTTTATTGAAATGGCTCTTGTACGTCAAATACAAGGAATTACAAAATTTATCTTTTCCTCCCGGATATCGAAACTTGGGTCAAAGAGCGAGCGACTCCAATATGTTCCATTTGCAAGGCATACCTCGACTACCCAGCCACTTTCAGAAAAAAAAGAGTATGTGTCTTCAACAAGTGTTTTGCAATGTAGTATTTCAATATTTGTCTTTAATATTCTTATGTTTTAATACTTTTTTTCGTTTTTTTGTTTTTTTTTTTTGTTTAAGAGTTAATGTTACGTTTGTGAGATCAAGTGGAAAAAGAATAGAGGCCAAAGGGAAGGTGGGAGATAGCTTGTTGGATGTTATTGTGAATAATGAAATTGATCTAGATGGATTTGGTAAGAAGATTATTCAATTTTCAACAATCTTCAGACAGTTAATAGAATCTCATGATCTACTACGAATTTCTAGGAGCATGTGAAGGTACATTGACTTGTAGTACGTGTCACTTGATCTTTTCCAAAAAAGACTATGACAGACTGCCTGATAAGCCATCAGATGAAGAAATGGATATGTTGGATCTTGCATATGAATTGACTGATACGTGAGTTACATATATTTCTTGGTAGTGTCTTGTAGATTTGTAAAAAAAAAAATTTCAATTTCTTTACAACTCTTGCAGATCGAGATTAGGATGTCAAATCATACTGTCGGAGGAATTAAATGGCCTTGAAGTTAAAGTACCATCCACTATCCATGATGCCAGATAACAACGTGCAGTGTTAGGTAGAAATTAATTAAAATTGACCTAGAGCAGGTATCATGTACAGAATTCTATAGAAAAAATTTTTTNTGGTCATAAAAGGTCTTTGACCCGCAGCAATGACACCGTGGGACTTTCTAGCTGAGTTTTTCACTCTCTCTCTCTCTCTCTCTCTCTCTCGCCCTCTGTGGCGCTCAAATGTTGTACCTGTATATATTTACAAAAAAATGCTTGTACATCAACAAACAAATTGAAAATTTCATGTTGATTTGAACTCATATTTTATGACATAGATATTAAGTGAAATATTTTTATTGATGACGAATGATTGTTATTAAAAACCTTTTTACAACATTTTGTTTTATTTCTTGAATGACTTGTACATTTTTAAAATTAAATAATTTATGTGTGATTGGTACATAAAGCTAAAACACTTTAATGTACCTAACGATTATTAATAATTTATTTTTCCATTAAATTGTACATAAAATATGATAGTTACTTTTAACTGCACTACCTACATAATGTGACAATGACGTACACGAATTTCATTTCATTACCCTGCCTTATGATCACGAGGCAACTTTTACTATAAAAAAATAGTTTCATACAATCATGTGCAATATATATTTCGTACATGTGCATTTTATTTACACATTGAAAATCAATCTTGACTTAAACTTAATAATAAACGTTTTCGTAAACTGTTTGTGAATATTCATAACATTATAATATTAACTACGAATTTTATACAATTGATAAAAATAGCTGAATTGTACTTTGTAAGTTTAAACATTTGAAATTTGCCCAACTTGAGCAACTCTGATTAACCATTTACGTTACAACAAATCATGGAATAACAAATGTATCATGTGTTTTTACATAAAACTGCAAACTTCAGTCTTTCCATGAGTTTTACACCCGGTAGCAGTGATGTTTTTTTTTTTTTTTTATATATGTAGTAGCAAAATGAGTAAATCTTACAAAAAAATTGTAAAAAAAAGGGCATACGCGTAACAACCGAAAACAAGTTTTCTCGTGAATTACTCCATTTGAACAACAAAAAGTAATCATCGTACACATACATCGTATTATATGAATCCAAAAAACGTAGAACAAAATAATTCAAGGACACACGTTTACAGTTCCATAGACCGCTATAGATTACTTCCTCCTAATGAGAAAACCGTTCGCAAAGTTATAATACAATTGAGAAGAAAAAAAAAAACCACATAACACGCATAAACACACTATCAAGAGTCCCCGCATCAGAGACAGGCAAGTGGTGCCTGTCAGCTCTAGAGCTCAAAAAAAAAGTGTACCCCAAAAGTCATAAAGCTAGCTCGGTGTAGCGTATACACGCATCACATATGTCACGCACTCGACACCTTGCATAATTGTTTGTAGCCCACGAGCACTCCAGGTATACTCAGACAAGCGTGGATAGCTCGTGACTATTGGCCGAGCTGAGGTCGACAGTGGCAACCGGCAGTCCGGGGCTGACGCTGCCCGCGGCCTCGCGTTGCTGTTGCTGTTGGGAAGCACGGCCAGGAGGTACTCCGGTAGGCGAGTGGTCGCCCGGAGTACGGGGCGGACTGGCCGGACCCATCATGAGGTGGCTGCGCTGCGAGGCGTTCAAAACGCCGGCGTGCAAGCCTCCGCCGGTAAGCGCCGGGGACATGGACACGTGCCGGTGCCCGTGTAGACCGAGCGAGTGCTGTTGCTGCTGGTGGGCCGGCTGCTGTTGATGGACCATCGACGCGTTTAAGCCGAGTCGGGAGTGATTGCCCATTACCAGCTGGTCACTAGCTGCCAGACGACTCGCGGCTCCGCACGAGCTCGTAACTTGTGGACGTTGCTGGTTCTGCTGCTGCTGCTGTTGCTGCTGCTGTTGTTGTTGCTGCTGCTGCTGCTGTTGCTGCTGACGTTGCAGCTGGGCCGCAGCCTCGTACTGTTCCCGACGAAGCGCCTTCATTGCATTCGTCTTCTCCTGAGCACAAAACATTACCCCACTGTTAATTGAAATTCAAACACCATTATAGGTACTACTTTGGTAGTAACAGACGGTCAGGGTCGTAATTCTCAATTAATTTTTATTTTCCTCCCAATGATCGTTAAATTAATTCAATGTGGTTTTTAACGAAATTCTATTAATAGCGCGTGATAAAGTCGAGAGTTGGGTGGATGGTGGATATAATTATCCTTGATGTAAGGTTTGAGAAGAGGGACGAGTGTAATATGTAGATGTATAAGTATGCCCGAGTAAAGTGAATGTCGAGAGGAAAAACGAAGAAAAATATACCTATACACGGAACTCTAAAAGGTAAGTTAACAGATTTAAAAGAGAATTCCCGGAATGTCGTGCCCTTTTCGATTGTACCTTTTTTCCGTTTAAATTTTGTATTTTTCAGAGGGGACGAGGGGTTTCTCGTCACACGTTCAAAACGAGTACGACTGGGCCTCTGTATATATGTGTAACCGATTTTTTAAAAAATGAAAAAAAAAAAAAAAAAAAAACCAGTTTGCCGGTTGCTCGCTCGAGGTATTTGACTCTCAATGTAAACATAGTGGCCATACGCATTATGTACACACATGTAAAAATCTTTAAGAAATCACGAGTTGTATTACAGAGAGAACAATCATTTTGTGACTTTGCATATTTCAGTGGTCATTGTCTCCAGGTCAAGTACAACTTTATCGTTATCCTTGAAAAATTTACGCCAACAATAGACTACTGGAAGAAAAAAAATCCGAAATTCATCTTTTTTAACAATTGACTTTTTTCAGAATGATTTTCAATTCTAGAAGGTGTGCCCTGCAAATACCTTTATGACCTGCTTTTCTTTTCCTTGTACGCGCGTACTTGTATCTTATATCGATCATGTCTACTGGAGTGGTTAATAATAGCTATCCTTAAATTTGATAATTTGTAAGTTGTACCAAAAGTGGACGTGTATCGACTTACTTTTTGCCACACGAAGACCGTGTGCACCAGAACGCAGCCACAATACAAAATTCCAAAACCGATGATCACCGACGTCACGATGGCCGATGTCGATTGGAATTGAATAAACGCGTAGAGTATCATACCTGAAACAAATATTATTGTTAATTTCATTTTTTCTGATATAATATACAATAGACTTGACAATTTAGTATCAAAATAATAAGCAAGGCGCGCGCGAACAAACAAAAAACAAATCATAATTCCCCGAATGTGATGATCGATCGAGAGCCGAGATTAAATTTTCATAAGAAAATTGTACTTTATATGTCATAATCTCTCATCAATTGTTTCTCATGAGATTCAACGAATACTGTCAATACAATGGAATGGTATTCTTTTCTTTTTAATTCGATTATGCGGGCCGATCCTTCCTTCACTGCAATGGAAGGCAGACCCGTGGCAAGATAGGAGCAAGCCCCAGACATCTCGCCCTGTTTCAAAAATCAGTTCGATATTCTGGTCCCTCAGTGAGGGACATATCAGATATCAAGCTGATAAGAACAGATACTACACTTTGATCTTAGCCAGAGGCCGAGAAGCGATACTAGAAACGAGAATTTTTCAGCTCTTATAATGTAAAGTTGCCAATCCTCTAGAGGGAAGCGTGTTTTCGGAGTAGGCGACGCGTACCGGTCGATTCTAGTACTACGCGCTAGCGCGGGGCGACTTTTCCGACTTCTCCGAATCACCGTCATCATCAGCGCAATTAAGACCTCTTTTTTTTTTAAATATCAATATGTATATATATACACCGTGCATCGAACCGGATCCGGAAGGTAAAAAGTCAGAGAGAAAGAATGACACAACGAGAATGGCAGTCGAAAATTCTCTTACCAGCTAAGAAGACCGGAATGCTTATAAAAAAACCACCGATCGCGCACACTCGGCTGATCGACGATTTCTGCAGGTACTTGTTTGTCCTGAAACCAAAAACCATACGACGCATTAAATTTCAACTATACATGTAGGTATGAACATTATTTTTATACATAGAATCGATAAAAGTCATAGGAGAAAATACAGGTATATATATATATATATGCGGAGAAAGGATCGAGTGACAATATTGTACTTATGATGTATGAGAGAAATTTGGTATACACGTCAATTAAGAGGAGCGCGCTCAAGTACAGAGTGCAACGCTACGTACGCGCAAGAATGAGAAATAAGGAGGAGGAGGACGATGAAAGGAGAAGAAGGAGAGCGGGTGGTCATAAAAGGTCTTTGACCCGCAGCAATGACACCGTGGGACTTTCTAGCTGAGTTTTTCACTCTCTCTCTCTCTCTCTCTCTCTCTCGCCCTCTGTGGCGCTCAAATGTTGTACCTGTAAATGTTTATTTATAAATTCATCAAGTACTTTTTGACTCTTGTTATACTCCGGAAGACGAGAGCGAGAGTAAGTTACGTGTAGCGACGACCTCCGCGAAAAAGGCCCGTGTCCACGCGCAACATCGTATTGCAGCCCGCATCGTACACAAGCTGCCCAAATAACCAAAATTTTCCTCGTAATACATTATCTTTGAAAAAACAACAGATCTGATGTAGTCGATGAGGGTTTTGCACTGCGCGCCGACCTCGTTTTCTTTAGGGTATAAATTGTAAGCACCGCGCGATAGTGTGACGGAGAGAGAGTAAAACAATTCTAAACGGATGAGCCAACATTTCGCAATGTGCATAAGATATATAGGTATTGGGGGGATTGAAATTCGTGACGAGAAATTCGAGGGAGCAAATTGAGCATCGACGGATGAGTACGTATTTCGCGGATGACTTTCAATTCAACTGTGCATGTATAAGTATAGAGATCGCTGCGAGCGATCACGAGAAAACGTGATACAAATTGGAAAAAACAAAAAATAGAGTCCCTCTGTGGTATATGCAATGTATGTATATATTACTCGTCGCAGCAGCAGCACGACGATGGCTTTATTGATACTGAGAAGTGAGTATATATATATTGGTATCGCGACACGGAATGTGAAGAATAATGCGCCGCGACCTCCTTACGGAAAATGAAAAGCTATCGCCTATATACGCCACTCGGTAAAATTCCACTGATTTTTGCGTTTAATATTTACCGATTGAAAGTAGATGAAATCACGTGAATGCCAATCAGCTAGTAACACCATAATATGTAGTCATTAAAAAAAAAAATAATAAAAAAAACACAAGAGCTTATATGTATGAATCAGCAAAACTGATTATTAACTGATGTGTGTCGGTGATGAATCAATGTGCTGTTTAAACGTCTCTAATCATCATTGTTATTGTTCAATTTTTTCACCAGCGTTCAACTGTTGATTGTACTGTATCGATGTATTGTAGGTACAACTTTTTGTTTAAAACAACTGCTTTATAAATGTACAGAGCATAAATATATTACCCCATATATGTATGTAATTATACATACACAAGGTACACCCATTGTATATATCTTTGTTGGGTTATTGTGGACGCTTTCGAGGTGAGAGAGGAAGCGGAAGGAGCGAATTAATAAGAAAAAGGGGCGGGGGGGAATAAGTACGTATGAAAAAAAAAAAAAAAAAAAAAAGGGAAACGAGCCCAAGGGATTGAGAAAGCACGCGTCTTTGCATATAAGTACGCGAGTAGGTATCGGAGCACGCGCGCGTTACATACATACGTGTATCATTACGTGATCGCGGAGGAGAATAGAGCAGCGCAAGAGGAAAAGGAAGATTATAAGTACTGCAGGAGGAGAACTGAAGTATCGAGTGCCACGCAGGTATAATATATGCATTTGTATGAGTCGGGTTAAGAGAGATTTTGTGTGTTCCGTTTATATGTATATACGGGAGTCGCTGTCTTATGGCGTTTGTATGCCTATATACAGCACCTTGTCCCTTGTCCCCCAATACAGTGTGGTACACCCAAAACTACCGTCACGTGGCTCTAATTTGCATATTTGCCATTCATTCGAGTATGGACGCAACGGGAGAAAGCCGCGCGCCAGAGAGGAATCTCTTCTATCATACAGCGTGATGGTACTCACGTGCCTCGCGGCCCATTCGATCAGCCCTGGGGCTACGCGAAAAAATGTGTTATACGTTAACAGCAACAGTCAATGGCATGGAAAGTTGAAAAAAAAAAAAATTAACACATTTGTTTTTTTTTACTATTTTTTTTTTTTTTTTTTTAAAGGCAATTTTCAAATTAAATGCCATGTAGTCATGGGCTAAAAAAACTTGTGCGATACGTATTAACGTAAGGGATGTTGCGTTTAATTTTATTGCATCTTAACTTGAAGCAAATGAAGTTTTTGGTGTAATAATTATTTTTTCGGAGTCAAAAAAAATCAAGTCGCATCACTTTTGATTATGTTTTTATTGATAAACTAATTCCACCTTCATTTTTTTTTTTAAGATTGGAAATATATCGTAACATATATATGTATATGAGCAAACTGTCAACCGGTGTCGCAACCATCAGTTTATAATACACGTGTACACACGCAAAACTGCCACCAGAGTTTCATTCGCGAGTAAACGAAAGAAATTACGATACGCCAGCCATGAAAATAAATCCAGCCTGCCGCTTGTGGTAGGTATATGACATATATGTACTTTGTATAGACACTCGGTCTATCTCATCAACGATTGTACGGGGCGGATTTGATAAATGGGAGGAGAGCCGTGTAGATTACACCGTACTCGTGCAAGTAGAAGCGTGCGTGTGTGGGATTTCTCTTTATTTATGCGTGCACGCCTCCCTATTTTTTTTTTTTTTTTTTGCAGCGGTCTTATTTTGCATGGGTATGAAAAAGATCGTTCGCCATGCGATTCGAGACTTTTGAGTGAAAAAAAAAAAAAAAGTTTTTTTCTGTATACATATGAAGAGAGAGGTGGAGAAAAAAAAACGCCTGGGCGTAAGAGATTACGCGCTCGACTCGCGATATGCGCGCTTTGCATTTTTTTTAATGACAAATATTGTCAACGACATGCGTGCGCGTCTAGATAGCGCGTATATATGCATGTACTTGGTCGATTTCAATGGACTCGATTGAGGCTGGAACTTGGCGGGTGTCTGCGAAAATAAAACAACTCGTTAATGCAGTTACCCTGTATAAAAAAAAAAAAACAAAAAAAAAAAACGCAAACAAGTGCAAGATGCTTTGAATAGTTAGTTTGGTCTTTCGCTGAAGTTTTTTGAAGCATTTTGTTATTTGATTAAAAAATGATTGTGGCAACAGTAACAACAATAACAAGAGCTAATGAAAAAAAACTCTTAATGTGCAAAAACATTCTACAAAGTCCAATATGCAATCGTAAGCAACGAGACCTGCAATTTGCATGGCGTTTGCAGAGAAAAGAAAATTGGAAAATTGCAGTATCGAATCCACGAGATGACTTTTGCAATTTAGCATCGATACGGCGGAACCTACGTGCAAAAGGCCGCAAACAAAACAATTTATGCAGCTGGTTGATTTCGCTGGGAAACGTACGGGTAGAAAGGCGAATATCGAGCTGTACGAAGCTAGAGAGCTCGGGGAAAAGTATGTAGCGCGGAATGACGATCTTGCACGCCATTCGAGCGAGGGTGAAAAGAAAAGTCTATTTTTGTTTAATCGCTATAGCATTTGGTGTACTTTGCATACACGTACAACTAATTGCAAATTAGTGTGAAAAATAATTGTTTTGAAAACAAAAATTGATGATACCAGTTTTTTTAGTAAACAAATTTGTAATCTTTGATGATTTAAGTTGCTTGGTATTAAAAATTAGTGCAATAGGTGCTGAGTATGTGTTTTCTTCCACCTAAAAAAAAATGTTCAAGCAAAAATCATGTTGTAGAGTAAGTAAAACTCCACCCGATATTAAATTTTTTGCTTACTAAAATGCAATTGAAGTAGATCAATATTATCTCGTAAGTAAAGAGGTGCATAGTACATTCACTCATGATATACAGAGTTGAGGACCAAATGTTCTTTTAAGGGGGCTCCTACGACTACTGCTAAGGTCAAAGACAAACAAAAAATAAAGTTTTGTTTTTCAATAAACAAATGTGTCTGAAAATCATTATGATATTTTTAATAACGTATGAAGTGGGAAAAATGATATTTATGTGTGTAGTTTAACTTTGTACGAAAAATTAATTATTGTTTTGACCAGTCTAGTGCATACGAGGGTACACCACCAGACCAGACCACCTGTGTTGGTGTAGTATAGCGATGTAATATATAGGTATATGGTATATATATGTCGTGAACAAGTACGTCTGCTACCCACGTGACCTCCTGACCTCCCGGACACTATTTATTTATTTCCATCACAAATATCTCGCTAAAATGGTCCTTTATCCACAATTTTTAATACAGCATATTACAGAGGAAGACTTCATCTACAAAACGTATATATTCAGTCTGCTGGGACATTTAATTTAGGTTTATTATAAACGAAAACAAATTGTTTTTCACGCTGCCCCATAGGAACACGTGCTAATAGTTACAACTTTGAGCTCGGATTTCTCAAAATTTTGACCCATTCGAAATATAATTTAGACCACCATTAAATTCAGTAGACTTTTATTTACAAGAAATAATATATATCTGTTTGGGGACTTTCGTGAAGGAGCCACCTTAATGTTACTGGTTCACTCCTATCCTCGGATTTTTCAATCAACTACAACTAGGTATGTACACGGGGTTCACCGCACACTATGAATACCAGGAGCAGATATTGTTTTTTAATTCGATTATGTGGGCCGATCCTCCCTTCACTGCAATGGAAGGCAGACCCGCGGCAAGATCGGAGCAAGCCCCAGACATCTCGCCCTGTTTCAAAAATCAGTTCGATATTCTGGTCCCTCAATGAGGGACATATCAGATATCAAGCTGATAAGAACAGATACTACACTTTGATCTTAGCCAGAGGCCGAGAAGCGATACTAGAAACGAGAATTTTTCAGTTCTTATAATGTAAAGTTGCCAATCCTCTAGAGGGAAGCGTGTTTTCGGAGTAGGCGACGCGTACCGGTCGATTCTAGTACTACAGTGTTACCTCTTCGTTGACGCGCCATCGTTTGAATTCGCGGATGAGTACTTACAATTTAGTTTATTTTTTATTTTTTTATAAGTATTAATGTTTGATAAAAAAAAATTATTTGTGAAAGTTTCAATATCATTGTTACAAAATTAAAATCGTTGGGATTATTTAAGATGAGAAATCCCATTTTCCAATGTATCATCAATACATTTCGTGTGTGCACATGGATGTAACATTTTAAATCTGGACGTGAAGAAATTGCATCTGTTTTTTTTTTTTTCAGGTGAAAATAAAAAATAGAGAAGAATAAAAACGAAACGATAATTCGAAACACTTGTTGCCGTACTGTGCCTTTCATATTGCACCATATATTGATGAACTTTGTCAATATTACACAAATGGCACGAGAGGCACCATGGACACAATCGCACTGGAGGACTGGGGCTGTTTTTAACAATAAACAATTGATAAAAAAAATTATTTTATTTCAATTAATTTTCGTTGAAAAATTTACACTCGTAATAAATTTCAATTTTTCAGAAACGCGTAACGATCATTTTGTTTTTCTAATTTTTTTCTCAAACTTTTAATTTTCCTGTGACAATAAGTCCCTTCTTTTACTACGCACGCAGTTCAGCACACCTACACAAACTATTAAGTTTACAAATGCGCGTACACGAAAAATACACAAATAGTATACATTTGTACCCATTGGATGTGATTAATGGTCCATAGGGGGTATACCAGTAATGTCACTTCATATGTACAATAATGTATGCATAAATAATCCTACGCGTATAATCACGCGAGCCATATAACGTATGAACGACATAAACGTCAATGTTAATCCCAATATTGGCCTTCTGTTACGTCAGTAAAGGGCATTTGCAGAGTCTTTCTTTCCCTATATGTATATAATACATCCGAGTCGCTGTGCCCGCCGCAAGATCCTATCCCGCGATTAATTAAACAGACAGGAAACCCGTCGAGGCTACCTTCGAGCTGCGATTAATGCCATAGGTGTACATTTTATACTACCGCCAATCTACCACTGTTGCGCGTCTACATTGTATATAACCACGAGGTAAGTCTGGTGCTGTAATGTGTTTATACATGTATAAAACGTATATAAAACGGAAGCAGCGTGTTCAGGATGCATCGTGCCTGTGGTCACTTTATAGGAGAGAAAACCGGAGGCTGATGTATATATGTATATATTAGGGATCGAAACATGTATAGGAATGATAATACAGTCTACCTAATAAAAAAAAATGATGTGAATAATGAATCCATACATATATATTACTAAGTGTAGCAAATGATACATTAACGTGTAACGCATACGAGAGGAGATCAACAGTGTGCTCTAATCAATTGTGTGGGTGCAAGGGCTTACAGCTGGACGTTTTGCAAAAAATACAATAAGCGATGAGTCATTCTTTCATGATGTTTCAGAAATTTCAACATGTAAAATAAACCCGTACGTGAATATATAGGTATACATGGTAGGTACGGTAGCACCGCGTGCACGCGTGCAGCACGAGACGACGGGAGGAGAACCGCGGAGTTGCATGAAATAAAAAGAGCCGGAGCCCGCACACAGCTGCACTTAAGGTATATGCGTATACGTATATATATAGATAACGTAAGTGATGATGTATAGGTATGGATACGTATACAGAGGCTCTGTACTTTATTCCTGCAGTAGATGTACCTACATACGTACATAGGTACACTTATGACGCAGCCGGCCGTTGACCGAGAGAAAGAGAGAGCAGTGTGGCCGGGTGCTGCACACGCACGCAAGCGTCATCATCGAGACGCGCGCCTTCTCTCCTTATGCCGCCGTTACGTGTACTTATTATAAGTCCCGTGGCCGTTGTTTGTTGTCAGGAGGCACGCGCGAGCAGCTGCCCACACACCTATGCATCCCCCTTTTTTACGATGCGCCTTTTGTACAAACATATGATTAATAAAAAACTCACCGAAATATTATATACTATATTATACACGCAAGCCGTGCTAACTGCTTTTTTTTTTTTTTCTTCTTTTTTTTCATTCTTACAACACTTGATGCACGCGTCTTTGGATTTCGACTCGCGTATGTATATATAAAATTTACAAGTACACCGCGAGCACTCTATTGTTGCGCATACGTTTTATTCGTTATTTTATTAGACGCGGGCTCAAAGAGATTTTTTTTTTTTTCATGCCCAATTAGGAATGGGTGTTTTTTGTTTTTATTTCTGACTCGTGAGTGCGGAAACAAAAATACAGCTTATATAGTGGGGTTTTCACGGTCATTCGTTGAAGAAATTTTTTGTCAACGGGCCACGCGTAAGTAAGTGTAATATGCTATATATCCTTTGCTTCTTTGGAAATCCATACTTCCAATGCCGTTCGAAATCGTGACACGTTTGTTTGACAATTTCGTACGAATGTAAACTACGCGTCACTCTTCCGAGTGATTAATCACGGTTTGTGTTTTTTTTTTCCTGGTCCACCGTGTTTTTCAACATTTCAAACGAATACATGTCGAGAATAACAACTTCAAACGAGAAGTACCGACTCGACGCCGAATCCGATGAAACGACGAAATTAGTTTTTTTTTCTTTTTCTTCACGACGACCGATAATTTAATTGGTTTTCGTATATGTATGTATGTATACGCGATGAGCTGAGTCACCGTAACATCGTTGGACCGACCGGTAAAAAATAAAATTAATTAATTCTCAAAAATGCCCCGTTAAATCACGCATATGTTGTGATTTCTTTCTTTTTTTTCCTCTCATTATCGGAGGGTACAGATAATTTGAATAAACCGTCCAAACGAGTACGCAGCGATTACTTGATCGTCCAATCTACTCGCCTATACGGAGACCAACACTCATGCGCTCCGGTGTAAGTATATATTTAATTTTGCTCTTGAATGAGAGTTGACCACACCCACGCGCTGATATTTAGAAAGAGAGAGAGGGGAGTCTATTCAATGCCAAGTTGGATAACATTTACGTAATATCACGAGCAAGCAGTACATGAGCAACATGCATTACGTACCCTACCACTTTATTAAACGCGACCAAGCTGAACCGAGGACTAATCCATTCCTCGAATAAGATATACTGTGCATAATATAAGTGTACCTAAGTCACGAGCACACACATTTCACGCCCGACTGCAGCCTGGCCGCGGTTGATGCGTAAACGGTGCGTCGTCGCTACAATGGCACTTAATGGTAAATATGACGTACAGCGAGCAATTTTCTCTCGCATCACCTTATAATATATGTATATACGTAAGGATTAACAAGAACGACAAGGCGAGCGTCCTCTTATGTGTATGTGAGAAAAAAAAAAAAAAAAAAAAGAATCTATATAGATGGCCAGCATAGAAAAGAAAAAAAGAAGAAGAAGACTTTCACTGGACTTCCGCTTTTAAGAATCAAGAAGCATCAGCCCCGCGCCGTCACGAGCACGTTCTCCTTTTATATTCCACTTCGATGCTTGTCGGAGAGACCTTCAACAGCCCCCGCGCGTCGTGCCTCCCTTTCTCTTTTCAACTTCCGCTTCCGCGCGATAGCTGCTGATGATGGTGGCGATGTGTATAAGCTATGTGCAGTCCAAACTTGGCCGGGGCCTTTTTTTTCCCCCTTCCTCCGTCACACAAGAGCGCTTATATATATATACAGCGATGCCACGCGGCTTAGCCAAACACGGCCGCCGGTATAGGGTAAAGCACTTGGGCGTGAATTAAAGTGCCCGAGGCGCGAGCCGAGGAATTTTCAATCTTGAAAAATACAAAAAGGAAGAAAGGAAAACTCTGGTGTGTATATAAGTATGCGCGGGCCATGTGCGGGGCTCTCGCGTCTATTTTCAGCGCCCGCGGCGCGCCACACCGCTGGAACAATAAATATACGCGTATACGTACAGAGGTACATGTATATACAATAATATGTGACACGAGTAGTCCCGGTGCATTATATATTGTGCATGTGTATATAAAGTGCAGAAAGTGTTACGTTTTACTATGTATACATATAGATGTACGTGTAAATGAAATCGGAGGATCAGAGTGGGTGGGCTGCAATCCGAGCGGAGGACCGAAAATAGCCGTGAAAAGTGTATAAATATAAACCATTGGATCCAAACTCCATGTAGAGATAAGTTGTAGGTACACAATGGTATATTTCATTCATTTTATGGTTTCTCTCTCTACATATACGTACTTTTATATATATATATACTTTCGTGAAGGAGCCAC